TGAGGGCATGGATGCGATTGGCTTTAATGAACAAACGACTCTCCGATTATTTTCGACTCCTATTAGAAAACCGAGAAATTATTTTAAAAGACTATTACGAAGAGATGTCAATAATGATGTCCGACGAAGCGGTCATTATTGGTGGACTACTCGTTGGCCTTAATATTCTTGATTGCAATCTATTCGTCAAAGAGGAGAACTTGGATTCCGACGACACTGTTATTGATCTGAGCTTTTATTTAAGAGATAACATCCAAACGGATCCGTTTGAACCCGAATGGAGGAATCATAACGAGACCAACAATGAATGGTATGACAACACAAATTTCATTGCCCTTAGGTTTAGGTCTCATGTATATAACATTTAAGATCTTATACTTTTTAGTAATGGTTTTGAAGACAATATTTCTGTAGTATTGGACCAGAAAAATTACATCGAAGAACTTAACAGGCATTTGAGGTTTGGTTTATACATTTAAAGTCCTGAAAAGTCTTAAAGGCGTGAAACAAGTGTTTAACTAATTGTTGTTATTGGGAAACAGTTCCACAATTTCAAACTTAGAGCACAAGATAGAAACCCTTCAAACAGACAACACTCTTATGTCCGAAGAACTGGAAGTTTATAGGAATGTCGACAAGAATTTTGAAATCATTAAAACAATCCCAGAAATGGATTCAATTAAACAATCAAAGGAAGAGTTCTCCCAATTGGAAGAGCAGCTCAAACAAGAAGTGAAACGACGAGAGTTGGCGGAGAAAGAGCTGGAGAGTCAACTGTTCCTTAAGGGCGAGTGCGAGACAGCCATGCATTTGCTTGAAAGGGATGTTCTCGAGAAACAGGACTCTGTTATCACTTTGAGACGACAACTCGAAGACATTAAGACTATTAACCTTCAAATGTATTCTAAATTACAAGAATGCGAGACTTCTATTAAGAATAAAGTCAATCATATCTCGCATTTGGAGCAAAACATCTCAACGATGGCTAACACTATCTCACAGCTTGAGTCCAAGTAAGCAAACGCTTCAATTCAAATTATTTTCTTGTTTATTAAATGCATTTTCTATAATATATTTTCGCAAAAGAGTAACAAATTATGAGAAACTGCGCGCAAATGACGAACAAAATCAGATGAAATTAAGCGAACAGTTGACAGACGTTGAGC